AACGCAAGCTAAGTAACGATTGACGAACATTTGCCATATCCGCTACTTTCAATCAAAATTATTAACTGGCGTAAAAGACATCTTCTTCTGATACTTTATTAAGTATGAATTGCTCAAAATAGTCGCGATCACGTACGTATCAACAATTATCCAAAAAGTATGTTATTTTGTTTGTCACTATCTTTGCCTTTGTGAATTTCCTTTAATCCATTACGTGGTGTAGATACCGCCATCAAGTGGCATTTTCCGATACAGGGTGAAGCAACTGTGACAACGCCCGAGTACATCAGCAAAAATTTCTACTGTAAAATTTCATTTAAAGAGCATATAAAGGATGACTTCTGCCATTAAACCGACATAACAACGAACTACGACGCCATAGTTAGAGAGGATATGCTATAACGCCTCCCGTAGAATGCTGACTGCCACTGAGCTGAAGAGGTATCAGAAGTTTTACGCAAATCAGAATGAATCGGCCACTGATATTTTGCTTCAGTGGGAATCATAAACTAAAGATAGTCGACTTGGTTATCTCATAAACACGTATTTTCACTTGGTTATTAGTCAGTAGTCATTTGTTTGTCAAACAAATGTCTTGGTTTGATGATATATAAACTCCTTGCTGAAAAGTTAAGTCGATTTCCTTCGTTTTGGCTCCGATTTGGTGTTATATAGGTAGAAATTGGATGTAGACGGTAATTACATCTAGATAACAAATCATCTCCTGCGAAAATTACTTAAACTGACACGAGGCATTGTTAGGAAGTTAGATGGGAAGGTTACACTTATACCTACCGAATAAAAACTGTAGGCGCCAATTGTGGCAACTGAGTGCACGCTGATAGACAGAGTTATAGAAGTGTGCTGCTGCAAGTGGCCTGCCCTTATCAACAAATTATAGTGAATCTCAGCTTTATAAATCCATTGTCGCACCACTGTGTTATTCATTTAAATCTCAGCTATCTGGTGCCAGACTTTAAGTTACCCTTATTGTGCAGGGACTAACGATACTGCCTAACAGAAGTAGATGGAGTGGGACTCAAGTACGGGACCCATTTACTCAAGGTTTAGTCCATAATCCAATGCTTTATTGTCAGTGTGGAGCCTGTTAAAGCAACAGAAGACCAGTAAAATATCCTACAAAATGTAAACATAAATGTTTTATAGGAGGCCAATTAGTTTGGCTGCTTGCACAGACTCGAGATCGCCGCCAGCTGGCTTCAGCTAGAAATAACACCCATGATTGCTGTGTGACTATCAGTCCTGATAGACCTGAGCCGTAGGCACACTACCTGCTGTTCCCCACCTAACCTAGTAGCCAAGCTGTCCTTAAAACTGCCTTAGCTAGCAAAGGCTGAATATAACACTTGTAGGGGACTGTCTAGGGAGCTGAATAACGCAACAAATATGCGAATAGAAATCCAAGTCAATGAGATGGTAGTGTAACGATATATTATAAAAAATACAGAAATGAGTTATATTAATAAAGAGGTTACTTGGATATAGTGTTAAAGTCCACTGCTACAAATTAATAATATAATCCACAGAAGTGTTCACTGTTGGAATCGTGTCTGCTGGAAGAAGCTGTGTGCCGGTTGTAGAGTTGTTTTCGTATGAGGATAATAGGTTCCTGCAATAAATCCAAAGTATACAACACGGTATGAGTGGAGCAAGTAATGGCCAGTGAGAAGGCGAAGATATCAACAGTATAGTAAATTCCGAATTGTGCTCGGAAGTTATATATATGTAAACATGAATCGTTTTAAACAAAAATCATGTGCAATGTCTCTAATTTCAACATCCAACAAAAAGTGTACAATCATATTGTTACATACTCCACACACTTACGGTTGCTGAAAGATGTATTTGTTGACAGTGATTTGGGGAGAGTGCATAAGTGTCCACAATCACACCACAATGAGGCTGCTGAGCTCTTGTCTCTTGAAAACTGTATTCACCACTTTGGGTTGCAAACCGCATGGATAAATAAACTGACTATTGACGGTGAAACGGCTGAGGTTCAACTAAGTTAAAGAGCTCCTTTTGACACCTCACAGTATTACACAATGTTCGGAGGTACGTTCTCCTCTATGAACATATTTTTTGAAAAATATAGGCGTGTTTGACACTCGCATATATATTATGTGAATGAAGTGAATTTGTGATGAACCTCCCCTTACAGTTAAGTAGTTTTCCGTCACCACCTGAAATAAGATATGGCCAGACCCTAAAATCGTCGCACGTAACTTCTCTCTCCTTATCCAACCAATTATAAGCACATTATAAAATACATGGGTTTAATACAGTTGGACGACAAGTCATTTTTGTGCAAATTGTCTGCATTTTACGGAGTATGAATAGTACAGTAATGATTACAATAAGTGTTCTTTATTCTGCAGCCCGCTTGTATTTATTCGTCTGTTATTATCAATAGTTAAAAAGTAAAATAAGAGCAAACATTCAGTAGTCCTAAATGCTTTATATCATGATCGACGCTTCCAAAGCTAGGCCAAATGGAGCCAGCACGAACAGCAGGATATATCACGAGAGTCACACACGATTGGGTTGCTTAAGCGGGCGCATCTAGCTCCCCTAGGCCACCGGGACAGTGAAGGATCGCCCGCGATATTAAGTTCCGTAACACCTGTCAGTTCCTTATTCATGCATTTATTTATCGCCACATCCTCCCGACTGACTCATTTCTACGACTTGAACTTAAAAGTTAGGAAACGGTATTCACTTTCGAGGTTTTTTATGCTTTCACACGGTGGGAAGGAATATTCAGTTGGGGAAACAAAACTTAGCAGTCACTTTATTTACAATTTTTGAAACACCATTGAATGGTTTCCTGTGTGTACGTTTTCATGCATATATTGTTCACTGCTCTGTTACACTTTAAAACCTTAAAACGATTCACTGTAGCATACACTGTGAAGGGATATATAACAAACAAAAAATCTGCACTGTTTTTTATTTCCTTGTTTGAATCGGTAGCGAGTGTCGGCGACCCTATTTTCGAATTCCGGCGGTTGGTATCGCCATCTGTTAGTCTGGTTATGGGTTCATTTTGATTACAATTTACGAAGTGTACTCAGAAACTAACTGCTTTTAGTAGGTTTTTGGTATCCATATCTGATCTTTGTAAACGTGTGTAACTGTCCTTTCTCGAAATCAAAATACTTTCGACTTATAATAATAATAATAATTTTTGCTTTATTCCAAAAACAGTATTAATGATACAGCAAGGAATTTTCAGCATTCGATGTGATGCCCAACAGACAATTCAGCAGTATTCAAAATAAGTAATCATTGCTACCAGCATTTATTGAAGTGCAAGACACTGAGTTTCGTTGCACACACACTATTTCCAAAATTGAGATGGTTTGTATATTGCGAAGTCGACTTTTATTCAATGAAGACACTATTCTCTGTATGCTTGCCACAGGCAAGTGTGATGTCAGATATCTTCGTTAAGTCTTACAAACAGCTGTCTCTTTTCGACTGTTGTGGCTAAGTTTCGGTAGTATTCTATTTTTTTTTAAGTCGTATTTTTTACCTCATCAGGAATAGTGCGTATTAGTTTAGCCTGTATATATGAAAAATAAATGTTTATTCATTTCTAATACTGATGTCTTCAGAACTGGGCGGATTCATTCTTTTCGTGGTTATATGTTTTTGTTAGTATGAGTCCGTGTGCCTTAGTTTCTACCAAGAATTCACGACAAAGGACGCTGTTGTTTAGGGTATTTTAGGTTCCTACAGTCTAAAATTTCACTGTACGCGATGTAAATTGTTCGCATGACGTTGTAAGATTGCATGCATGCATATATTCATGGGCTTAGAAAAGTCTCCAAGCTGCCCGATGGAGTTCCCCACCATTATTAGGATACATATTACAGGCCGTACTATCTTTTGTGGGCCACTGTATAATTATCACACGCTTTTTACAACATACATGAGTGGTTTCGAGTTCTGTGTAGACATTTTCCCCTCACAATATGCATCACATGAGTAGTACATTCACTAGGTTCTTATTCGTTAACTCACAGTTTTACCTATACCTCTTGTTTTCTTAAATTGCCATGCTTACGTCCCGTGACCCTTTTTCTCATGCCCTAATACGATCGGACTGCATCTTTCAGATATTTCATTAATCAGCCACACTAATGCTAAAGTTGTGTATCAGTGAGTTGCTTTGTTTGCAGTAAGTCTCGTAGTATCTGTTTTTAGTGCTATACACCTATTGTCTTAAGAAATTTCTGGTATGCCTACTGGGTTTTCAACGTAGAGCTATGCGCAAAAGCTCAGCAGTTCAAGTTATACTTCTGCTTAAAGGTTAGGTCTGTCAAGTCTATTTTCAGTGGTGATTCTAGAACTTCCTTTGACTTCATCAGAAAGCATTTACCTTAGTTCTACTTCTAAAAAATACATAATTCCACTGGTCAACTCAGCACTTGTCACTTGTGCTCCCGATTGAATTGAAAGTAAACGCAAAACCTAAGGTGTCATTTTAATTATGGTTGGGTGGAAAGTCCATCAAGAATAAACTCTTACTGATATTAACGCAAAGCTAGTCAATTCCTCTACATCTAGTGGGAGATGTGTCTGCTGCCGATACCTAATACAGAAGCTGTAATTTAGAATGTACTAATAATGTGGGTATCGAATAAACGGACGGAATAAGTACTATTAAATCACGTAGCTTGTCAGCAAAATAAAATGTCCCGAGTTTCTTTTGTAAGTAGTGACGCATAAAAACCAGTTACGCATAACTCCATTATAGATAAGATTTCAAATAAAACTTATCCAGAATGGAGTTATACTCTACCACGGTGCCCAAATTTTATACCAGTTACGTATGTTTGTTAAGGTATCAGCCTTACTGTCTATTTAGTGCATCGTTTTACTTCAACAGATATGATAGTTGGATAGTGTCTTGTAAGAATGTCTAGCTTTCTGAACCGAATTCCCCTGCAACTTTAGATTGAAGATATCAAGTTGCTTTTTTATTGATCTTGCCCAGTCTGTTTTCTCAAAAAGTAACATTTTAGGATGATGTATAGACGCCTTTCTCAGGATCATCTAAATTTATATGTATTCCTGTGATTAAAAAATCATTCAGTTAAATATCAGTATTATTGTTTTTCTTGAAGGATATAGAAGATGGAATTTGATGTATTTGAGAAGCTAAGTGAACTCGAGACGGAGATCCATATCTTGAAAAAGGAACTGGAGGAAAAAGATGCATTTATACAAAACTTGATGGATAAAAATACAGATTTGGAACGTCGTCTGCTATCAGGTGGTCTTCAAAATAGCATAAATGAAGACACCGTCAAAGCAACTGTTCCTGATGGTCTTAGTACATCGGAGCCAAAAGCATATGGTGTGGTCTTCTAACAGAAGTTCATGTTTTTCCTTAGGCACTACCATAGCTAGTATGCTCAAAGAGACATCTGACGCAGTTGTACGCAGTACGGGGTATACATTTGATGAGCGTACTGGTTTGTATTATGATCACAAAAGCGGTTACTATTATGATCCAGTATGTCGGATATTTTCAATTTCATTTATTAATGATATATAGGAAAATCAGTTATTCTATGAACCTAAGTCTGGAGCGTATTATAAATATAACTCTGAAACTGGTGAATACACTAATTATACAGCGTCAGACGACGATTCTATGAATACCAAATTTAAAGAATTCTCGCACCCAGTATATGCCCATTTATTAAAGGTAAGAAGTTTCATCCATGAAACCTAAAGCAATTTACTATCATACATCTACTTATTTAAAACAAAACGTTGAAAATTTTGTAAAATTTTCTTGTAATGTATCAGCTTATTCTCTTTAATTATTTCAGGTCAGTATTTATCGAGTCATGGAGTCATCAGTGGAGATACAGTTGTACAAGAAACAATCAAATCCACTGGAACGAAACCAACGTTTAACATTTTTTGTCGATCTTTTTACTCACGTACTCTTTTCTTTTCATTACTTTTTGCTTTCGGAAAATACTTATTGGGGACGGTGAATAAAGAAAGTACAAGAACAACATCGTAGGGAAAAGAAAAAGGATGATTGTGGCTGCCACTCGAGAACGATGTCAAGACACAGTCGGTCGACAAGCAGTGAGGTTGGACATCGTAGACGAAGACAGAGCCGTAGCTACTCCGGTTCACGATTTGGTCGTTCCTATGACAAACATAGACATGAAAGTCCATGTCATTACGATAGATCAGTTCATGGGCATTCAAGATCCAGACGGAAGTCACACAAACATTCTCATCGTTCTGGCAGTTCATGTAGTGGTGAAAGTTATTACCTACGCAAGAAGCATAGAAAAAGAAAGCATTCGCATAGACATAGATATCGATCATCTTCTACTACTGGTTCTGTCTGTTCGTATAAAAGTCGAAGTGAGTTCTCATGAACTAACCTACTATATAGTGGATTTTTCCCTGCCTATATTTTTTGTATATAAACACTTTAATTCCAATCTTCTCTCATCTTTTCATCACTTAGTTGATACGTAAACAAGAGTGTTTTCGTTCGAAGTATGTTGTTTTGTTTAAAAATAATGCATTTACTAACCTTTTATTTGCTGTACAAACGTTTTTTCGAGCCGAGAAAATGTTTCCAAGTCATGTTTATATGATTCATTTACACTAAAAGTCGAAATCCTAACTGTACTGTAAAGTGTTCATTACTGTTTTTATTATTGTAATTATTGTTATTGCTAGTTTGTTGGAGTCAAAGACCGTGATAAGCTTATATTTAGTAGGCAAAGCATTTAATGTAAAGTAAGCAATAATTTTGATGCTTTCACTGACATATTTTTCTTAGTGCGAGGCAGATATTTATGGGTGACTGATAACCGAAAACGTTTTAATTTTTTATGCACTAGTACTGGTATGAGTGATTTGCTGTCTTTATACTTATTTTATTACTATGAAAAAAAAACTGACGATGATAATCATTACGTCGCCTGTAAATCTTTAAGATGGGTGAAAATTAGTTTATTGTAATATTTTATAGTAGGTTAGTGATACAGACGCACCTGATTTGTTTTGTTACGAGATAGTCAGTTCGGTAACAACATTTTGAGTCTTGTGCATAACTGTTTTCGAAGTGGTTTACCTGCATCTATAGGTTAATTATCAGAAAAGGTGTTTTTTAGGTCTTATAGTGCAATCGCTCAATTGATAATGAATTTTTTCCATTTTACTGCAAACTTAGAATCTGTTTTGAAAGATTTTCTCACTTATTTGGTGTTAAATTTATGCTGTAGTCTTAATGTTCGTTCTTTATCTCGAAATAATTTATGCCACAATATGAATCTTCTAATCAATCTGTTCCCACAATTCACATTTCAGTGAAATTAATGAGTTTATTATAGATTTTTTTAAATCTGAAAAGTTGTTGTTTCAGATTTAAATATTCAAAGTTTATAAATCAATCAAATAAATGAATGGATTCCATGAGGATCGTCGGGATGGGAATGCAACGAAGGCGTGGAGATCGTTTATTTCGTGAAAATTATTCAGAAAGTAGTGATTCTAACAAAAATATTAAATAAATTTGTAGAATGATATATTTGTCTTATGCGTCTTATTTTCAGTCACCAACATTATTGAAGAAATTGATTTGTTCTGTTTTTCTAGTAACTGACGGTAGAACAGTGGGATTTTATCGGGTCTCTTCATTGGAGTTCTTTAAAGTAGGAAAAATAATGCATCTTTTTCAATGTTATGCTTTTTTATGTTCATATCATTCTGTGCCGTATTCCAACTAGAAATGCGTGGCTTTGTTAACTTTATTCTTCATCTGGTCCCAAATTCGTGCTTGAAATGTACTAGCAGATTCTATTTGCAAACAACAATGATAAAATTAGTAGTCCTTTTCAGATAGATTCACTTTAGCATTGGTGAAATTTTTCACGAACTTTATTTTACAACGGTTTTTCGCTCTTGAATACAATCTGAAACAATATTATATCTTGTCTCCACATTCTGGTGTGTACTGCTAACTAGTGGGTTTGGATTTGAATCTGGTCCTACCCGCCTCAGCTTAGTCGTTTAAATAGTCTAATTGGCCTTCATCCAGTAAGTTTGGCTCATAGGTATTTTATGACTCCACAAAACTGCTATAGTCTACGCACCACGCATATTTGATACTTATAAAGCATAAAAACAGTCACTAAAGTATCTCTTATAAGCTGAATTCCTTACATTTTCTTAGCACTTGGTTAAGGTTGTTAGACAAAATTGAGATTTAGACGGGATAATTGTTGTGGTCAAACTCGTAATAACAAATTTAATCCTAACAAACCAACTCCTGAAAATTGTTGGGGTATCACCTGTCAAACTCAACACGTTTTATTGGATGAAACTACATGGTTGGCCACATTATTGTTTCTACATTACCGATGGATTTGCCAAATTAGTTGTCCTTGACAAGTAAGCGAGTGAACGAGTACTCCTTTAGTTTAAGAAGAATCTATGAAGTAATATCAATGTGCATAACAAGTTATAGAGACGTTAGTTTTTTGTGTATTTGGTGTAACGAGCTGGCAAGTCAACTGGGATACAAAAGATGACTTAGATAGTTCTGTGAATTTTTTAAATTGAATTACATTTTCTAGTGTTTGCATTTATTCAGTACTACACGATTAAATCTTCAATCTTGTTGTATCTTTTCTTTCATGACCTTAGTACGTGTATAAAAAAGAGAATTGGTATGGTGTTATCATAAATTGTGTTCCTGATCCATTTATGTTGATGGGTGGTTAATTTCGACTCTGTCACAATTTCGATCCTTAAAGTAAGCGTATTATTTTACGGTATCCGCAAAATATGATTATTAGGGCTCTTGGAAGTAAGTAAGACTGTAAGGGTTGATATATTATTCACTTGTTGTTAATGGGAATATTGTCTTTTAGCTTGATTGTGTTCGAAAGGGTAGACAGAATACCGGTTCTATTTAATGGGTGAACATGATTAAAGTAAGTTCTAAGCAAGTGAACAACTGAACTCAGCTGTTATTAAGTCGTCAGGTGCATATGGGACTGGGATGAGCAGTTAACAAAGTAAGCCCATTTTGTTTGCAAGCAAGGTTTATCCTAAGTTTATCCTTTTTTCCAAACTGCACCTATTTGCTATATCAGTTAAAGGAAACGGTTAAGGATTTCACTTCTCGGTTGCTTTCACATCTGGTTTGTTCTCTAGACATTTTCGTTGTATTAGTTAAAATATTGGATTCACTTGGGTAGCTGTTCCATCTATTTATAAGTTCTCTACAGGGTTGTCACTCATTGGCCTAGGTACTTGACTCTAATTCAGTTGATCTTGGGTTAGGATGTCACTCCACCTACTTCAGTCTGGAGGGCTAGGTGGTATTATCAAACCTCACGTCATAAGCATGGTAAATTATCTGTCCTGATATCTATGGTCGGCCTGCAAATTTGGACTACCGATATCATATGCTGAAAATTCCATACTTCTACCAAAAGTACTGTGTGGTTTCAAGCTATAATCAAAAATCAAGAACTTCTAATTATGGTTTCTCTGTGTGTTTCGTATTCAGCCCTACTTTGATCTTCAAACTTTGTCTCTTCTAAAAGTTTGTTTTCTTTCTGAAACGCTTAAATATTTGTCTTTAACCGTAGACACGTAACTTGAGTACTCACTATGCATTTTATCTGATTGATTATTGATCTCTGGGGAATTCTTTTCTAGTAATACTTCATATCGAAACAATTTTAACCATATGATGCGTGAAGATAAGCTGAGATAAGTGAAATCAGTAAATTAACCTTAGCTTAAAGTTACACATATTTTCTTAGACTTTTTAATGACTTTCACTATCAGTAGGCATTATTTAGGAAGTAATACAAACTTGTTGATAAAATGACTAACGGAACGTCAAGTTTCTTGATAGGTAAACGTCTAATAATGAAATTTTGTTTAGGAATAAACTTGAATATACTCTCGGTCTTGCCCATTTAATCCAGTGAGAAACTGCATTACTTATTTTCCATTTGGCAAGACAGTGGACTGTCGTTATAAGTGACTTTTCAGTAATTTTTAATGGAGAGCATTAACTGTCGTTGTGTTTAGAAATCATACCGTCATATATTTTGGGGTGAAACTGAATTTTTAACATTCTCTTGAGCTTCATGTGCAATACCGTAATTGTGTATTGAACAAAATGTAAGTTCTTATAGCGCACCGTACTAATGCATATAGTAAGCAGATAACTAACTATTCTTGCCATATAAAGTAGTTATTACTGGTGCATAAATTGTGTGGTAAAAATGATTTACAGAGAATTATGCTGTATGTGGTTTGTAGTCTTCAAAAAGGGAAATATTTCGAATGATTCGTTTTGTTAGGTGGATTAAAGAATGATATGAATATACATTTTATATAACACCAATTGAGCATAGTAACCTAAATTTATATGGTTCATTTAACCTAGTGTCTGTTATGATGTCTCTAGATATAATTCTGTGACACCAGTGAAAGCACACCTTATAGATTTAGCAATAATTAATGGACTATGTAATTCAGGTTAAATAAATAATCCATTTATTTTAAATAAGATATTTACGGTATGAAATAAATTGATGGACTGGTTTATTTCATAATAGAATTAAAAGTGTTTCTACTTGTATAACTAATGATACATAATATACACAGATTGAGGAAAGTTACTGAATCGGCTGACAACAGTTACTTTCATCAGTACACTGTTGCAGAAATAGCAATTTGTAAAGTAAAAATAAGTTCGTTTAAGTAATTTCTATATATTTTGTGTTCTGAAGGAACGTGTGCTCACTTGTTCCTGTCCCTGTCTGTCTGTATTCGACATAGAACTTTGCACATATGTGCGGCAGTTCAAGTCGCCACACTCCCTCCTTGTAGCACACAAAGCAAGAGAAGAAAGTGGGAGAAATGCATAATATGGACAGTAAACAGAGGTGTGAGACAAAGGAATAGTAATAACGAAGAACAAAACAGTTTCATTGGAAATCATAAGTCACAAGGAGTGGATGCATCTGCGCCACTGAGAACGATTTTGAGCCATGTCACCAATTGTTTCCAACCATTGGTTTTACCGTCCCGAGGACCCCAACCAGGAAGTCTACACCTTCCTACGTGGCTTAAACTAACTGTTGTAGATTTCATTGACTGGTGCCATGTTTTCGTTTGACCGCCGCTAGCTCTTTTCCAGCCTGGCCCTATATCAGCTAACATTGCCCGTCGAGGAAGGCGATGACTAGGCATACGTTCCTGTCCCACTCGTTGGTGATTTTGTCTGACAAATTTCTCTTCAGATGCCTCGACTTTCACAAGTAGTAACTCAAAGAATCGAATGCATAGTGTTTTTTCCAAGCGCCTTAGCAATACTGTAGACATAATCTTAGGATTTGTTGTTGTCTTTTACGAATGAGTAGGTTGGCAGTAATTATTGGGTGGAGGGGGGGCGGTTATCCACAAATGTTTTGTGATTATGATTGGACATACTACTTGGGATACAACTTTCATTGGTAAACATTACGAAAAAAGAGAAAAGGGGTGTAACGTTATACTAGAATGAACGGAGTTAAGTGTAGAAAGGTGAAAAAGTAATTAAATAACGATTAGTCAAGATATTCGGAATATCAGACCATAATAAAGTATAAATCATCTGTATCCTTTTGAACGATTTGAAAACGTTTCATCAAGATTCCGCGGCCAATGGTTTCTAGTGTCCTAATTACTTCACCTAGGCAACACTTACCTATATAACTCATGTGGACAGTAATCGATTTCATGGATTGGTATACCTACCTCTACTAGGTTAATTCTACATTTATCTTTCCTGCTCTTCATGATAGAGCATGCTTAAATATATGCAGCAAATGTCCCACTGACTGAAGTCCCTGGAATTTACTACCTCTATGCCGTACGTCTAATGTAAACACCACTCGCCATGTGGTTCTTGCTGACGTAAGCTAAATACTCGTAACCTTTCCGCTTATACTTTCGTAGACCACATCTCAGCTATAAAGTATGTAGGATCTCCCAACAGGTGACTGGTTCTCATACCATTTCTAAATTCGAAAAGCATCTATTGTGTCGTTGCTGGGTCTTCGTGCGTCTCCAATCTACTGGAGTTTATCCAAATTAAGGATTTAACTCCTTACCTTTGAACTGGGACTTGGAATAGTTCAGTCTTGAGTATCATCTTACATTTGTGATAGGATAAGAAAACAAACGTGTAATTTTTTCATCGGGACGTATAAAAGATCCTGTATTTTGTTAGTTGTATTCTAGGTCACCCTCCTCATTGCCGTAAAAACACGATTTCAGCGGCATCGAAGTCAAATAGGGTCACATCCAAGCATTGAAAGTTTTCATATTTGTTAGGCGTTGTGTTTGACACCGACTATGTTCAATGCACTCTCAAAATATATGTGGTCATCTGTGGTTTATTTCCTAACTCTTCGATTGTCAGTTCATTGGCAATGAGCTACGTAGAATCCCTCAGTGTACTCCTCCAACTGGCTGAATTGTGTTAATCACCTACTGTGCTGCAATCTCAACAAATGTCGAAACTTACTCTTCTTGCGGTATAAGTCATTGATTGCGGAGACTGATCTATGTCTTCTAAGTGGTGGTCGGACTTGCATACCTCACTAACCCAACATGCTGTAATGATTGAAACGAATGTCCCTGCGGGTACTACCATACCCGCAAGGTTGTTTCAACAGTGATTACACTAAAGGCAGTTGCGCACACTGGGGTTTGGGTCTTAGGGCGCAGTTATATTGCTTATGGTTAGGGGTCCCCATAGGCAATTAGCTACGCAGCTTCCTTGCCGTGGTTTTAGAATTAAGAAAAGATTATCCAAGGAATTCTGTACCTCGACCTCTAAAATAGTAAGGCCTGTACGAACAAAACTCCGCATGCAGAAATACCTTATGTAACTGGCGTCGAGGAGTTGTTCTTTGACATCTGCAGTCTTTCGACACTCACCCAACTTTTACATGTTGTGAGCAGCCAGAAAATAGGAACGACCCGAACAAGTTCATCCAACCATCACCCACATTGATTTGCTAGAATTCCTCCCAGAGCCAATACTGTTCCATAGGTAATTTCGTCCTAGTTTCTGAATTTTGTGTTCATTCCTGACGACCTGAGCAAGAGAAACTGACTTCATACACTGTTCAAACTGCCTTGACAAATTCATATTGGAGTTTTAACCTAAGTCTATTTATCAAATTAGACAACAACCATCATTAACGAATACTGACATCTCGGGCTCTGGATACATGTGCATAAAAGACACCCAGTCAGCATCCAAGTGCGATTATCCAGTCATTCCTACAGCCGACAAAGAAAATATGCGGAATTCACTTGATGGATAAACGAACAAAATCCTGGTATTAAAAATGGCATTGTGCTCTACAGCAAAACAAACCACTAGTCTAGAAGTCGATATTCACCAAAATAAGTCCTCAATTCACAACAATGCCGTCTCACATTCTCAGTTTACTCATCGAAATGGGGAAAATGCCACCCTAATTAGATGCCAGGATAGACTACTGGAACGTTGGAAGGAACACTCTGAGGAGCAGTTTAATTGGCCTACAGCCACGCTCAACTTACCCAGCATCCAACACCTCCCTAGATGGGATACGGATACTGGTTCTTCGTCCCTAACTGAGGTTACAAAAGCTGTCACTAGTCTGAAACGAGGCAAAGCTGTGGGACCTGTTGGAATGACCCCAGAGGTGTTTAAGTAAGGTGCAGACAACTTACTGTCTGCGTTAACTAAGGTACTAGGCAGCGTCTGGGAATCAGAGGAAGTCCCGTCGCGCTGGTGTAAGTCATTGATTATCCCGATATACAAGAAGGAAGACAAGTCTTCCTGTGATAATCACAGGGGGATTAGCTTGACTAATATGGTATCTAGAGTTCTAAGCTTAATAGTAGTGCGTAGACTGAGTGGTCCACGGGAGGAACAAACATGAGAGAATCAGACAGGTTTTAGACCAGGAAAGGGTGTATTGATCGTATCTTCACCCTTCGACATATTCTG